AGTTTGAGGCTAGTCTGGTTTACATAGCGAGTTTCGGGCCAACTGGGACTACAGGGAGACCCTGACTCAAACCTGGTCTACATAGTGAGTTCCAGGACTGCTGGGGCTTACAGGGAGACTCTGCTTCAAAAAGACAAAATAAAATAAAATAAAATAAAATAATAAAATTAAATTAAAATAAAATAAAAGAAAAGAAAGAAAGAAAAAGTATGTACCTATTATCCCAGTACTTAGGAGTAGAGGTAGGAGAATAAAAATTCAAAGTTATCCTTTGCTACCTAGGGCATTCAAGGCCAGCCTGGGCTATATGAGAGAAACCGTTCAGCTCCCATCCACTGCAAAATCTAAGACCATAAAAACTTATCCTTCTTTCCATGGATATGTTAAATAATAAATTAGATGGAAAAGACAGAATATTCTTCGAGCTATAGTATTTATTTATTCATTTTTGGTGCTGTATGCTGTGTGTGTGTGTGTGTGTGTGCGTGTGTGTGTGTGTGTGTGTGTGTGTGTGTGTGTATGTGCGTGTGTTTGCACATGGACCTACAAACCCACGGAAGCTAGAGGGCAACATCAGCATGTTTTCTTCAGTGGCTGTTCACCTTACTTTCTGAGAACAGGGTCTTTTCACTAAACCCAGAGCTTGCCATTTTTACAAGGCTGTCTTACCAGAGAATTCCAAATATCAGCTTGCCTCTACCCAACCTACACTGGAGTTACTGACACTTGAGGACATGCCCACAACTAATTAGTTTCTATCAATTATAGACAGAGCTGAAGAAATGTCTCAGTGGTTAAGAACATTTACTGGCTGCTCTTGCAGAGGACTCTGGTTTGGTTCTCAGCGCACACATCGTGGCTAACAAGTCTTTAATTCCAGTTACAGGGGATCACATGCCCTCCTCTGACTTTTGTGAGCATTACATGCCCATGGTTCACTTAGATACATGTAGGTAAAACACTTATACTCATAAAACAAAAATAAAAATATACATTTTGTGATTATTGTTGAAGAGAAGTCCATAGCCATACATCTCTCTCTCTCTCTCTCTCTCTCTCTCTCTCTCTCTCTCGTGTGTGTGTGTGTGTGTGTGTGTGTGTGTGTGTGTGTGTGTTGCTGAATGCCTCTTCTCTTACCCCTGGTAAAAATGTCTTTTTAAAAAAATTGTTTTTGGGTTGGAGAGATAGGCCAGCAGTTAAGAGCACTGACTTGACTGCTCTTGCAGAGGACCCCGGTTCGATTCCCAACACCCACATGGTGGCTAACAACTGTCTGCAACTCCAGTTCCAGGGGATCTGACAGCTTCCTGCTTCTCCTGCTGTGCTTTGCTTAACTGTTGCCATGTCTTCTCCACCATGATGGACTCTCTGCCTCTGCAACAGTAAACCAAGCAAACCTTTTCTTCAAGTTGCTTTTGATCATGATATTTCAGTCACAGGAATAGGATGTAGCAATTAAACCAGTATTTCTAAAGTGTACATTAATTAGAAAATAAGGAAAGTATAATTCAATATTGCAGTTGACATACATGAATTTTTCCAGACAACACTTGCATTTTTCTCTGTTGTCATTGAGAACTTGGCACATCGTGTCCTTATCTAAAGGTCACTCTGCTTTTGATCAAGAAATAGGGCAAAATGATAGACACAAGAATGACTGCCTGAAAGCAGACCCATCAGAGAGGATGTAACAAGTGTTCTTAGTGTTCAAATAGCATTCCATTATGGTTAACACTGATTGTCAACTTAACAAGATCGAGAATTACCCAAGAGATAAATCTCTGAGCATGTCGTGAGGGTGTTTCTAGACTGAGTTAATGGAGGAGAGAAGACCTGTCCTAAATGTAGGTGGCACTATTCCATGGCCAGTGTCTCAGACTGAATAGAAAGGAGAACGTGACATGAATACCCACATTCAGCTTTCTCTGCCCCGAGTTTGAATGCCTCGCACCCCTGCCACCATGCATTCCCTGCCATGATGGACTGTATCTTAAACTGTGAGTCAAAATAAAACTTTTATTCCTTAGGTTAAAAAAAGAAAGATTTTCTTTGAGTTTGAAATTCAGAATAGTGAGACAGAAAAATGATATGAAGTTCATATTATGACTCTGCAATGGCTAACCTTATAGATTGAACCGTTTTCACCTGTAAATGAAAATAATCTACTACTTCTAAGACTCAGGTAAATTCTAAAGCTATTAGGTTACTCAAGTTCATGGAGCACTAATTACCTCATCTATGATTTTTATAAGCAGGGAAGGAGTTATCTTTTTCAACCTAGACAATGTAGTTTGTGTTTTCCAATTGTAATCTAGGTATGTTTCGGCTAAAAGTTTTTCACCTAGTGGTTTCGCCTCCAACTCACTTTGTAGCAGCAGATGATCTGGAATTAAGGATCCCCCCACCCCATCCTGGCTTTAGGGATTACAGTTGTGTGCCACCATGCCTGACCTTAGCTTTTTTCTCTATCTGGAAATCTTAAAGCAAAATTAAGGAAAAGTGAAAATGCCAAACAGTGGAGCATGCACATGTGATGATGCTCATTATGTGCTGAACTCTGTGGTCATGGTGCTATTATCTTAGCAACTCCTTCCTTTCTGGGATTCCAGTTGAAAGTGAGCACAGCTCACCATAGTCAGGATTCTAAAGTCTGGATGGCTGAATTTAGAGTGCGGTACAGCTTTGTCTCTGCTGGGCATTGGGTATTCTGCAATGTTCTAGAAAGGCATCCAGTAATGAAATCTTTACTCTTCTGGCCCAGGACTGTTTCATATATCCCAAATCATCCTGTTGCTCTTTGTTTTGTTTTTACTTTACACTTACACTGAAACAGTAAAATTTTA